TTATCACTACCTATAAAATTCTTAGAGGAATTGACAGGGTAGATAAAGATTAACTGTTTAACACGGGTGGTACACGAACAAGGGGACACAGGTGGAAGCTGAGTACTCAAATGAGCCACAGGGCTCGTTAGAAATAATTTTTAAGTGTCAGAGTAGTTAACAGATAGAATGCATTAGGCAGTGATGTGGTGGAGGCTGACTCCATACACAGTTTCAAATGTAGATATGACAGAGCCCAGTAGGCTCAGGAATCTGCACACCATTTGATTTTGATTGACAGTTGAGAGGAGGGACCAAAGAGCCAGAGCTCAACCCCCGCAAGCACAACTGGGTGAGTGCACTAACACCATCATCACCCCACCACCACAACCACTCCATCAACACAATAATAATAATAATAATAAAATAAGGTACTATAATAAGGTGATAATAAGATGAAGGAAATCTTCGTTTTGCGTGAAATCTAGAAGGATAAATGGAATAGAAGACAGCAAATAAGACGATGGAGACCTTTGGTGCTAAATGTACCGAGGGAACAGCAGTTTACACCACTCAAGAAGGCGGTGGATGAGAAAGTAAACAAACTGGTTCAGTAGGCCATACAAGGAAGCTAAAAAAAAGGACAACAAACTGGAAAAGAACAGAGAACTGGAAGCAGAGGACAATAGAGAGGCACTGAAGAGAACCACAAATGAATACATCCAAGTCCGGAGACAAGCCGAGAGGCAATTTGAAAATGATATTGCTGAAAAAAGCTGAAGACAAAACTGATCTATAGCCATATAAGGAGAAAGCACCAGTGAAAGGCCATGCACTCAGGTAAGATAGATAAGATGGATAAGTATAGCTTCAAATTGAAGGAAAGTAGGACAAGAGAACACAAGTTGAAGCTGGAAACGCAAATGTGACGATGGAATGTAAGGAAATACTTGTACCATGTACGGGTACGAGTACCTGTATAACCCTAGAAAGTGCAGAAACATCCTTAGTACAGGTAAGTGTACCGAAAGCTGTGATTTTTTTCACCCAGAACTTTGCAAGAACTCTTTAGATAAGAAAGAATACTTCAACACGGATTGTCCCGCTTATCATGTAAGAGGTACCAACCGACAGACCCCCACTATGAAAACAGCCACAACTCTATTGACCAGAATGATTTTTCAGGAAGAGGAGGAGAAGAATGGCTAAAAATGTCCAGACTCTACCACCAACTCGGTCAACTGCTGGAGAGGCCACAAACACAGTGGCCTCTCTACCAGAGCCTCAGATATTAACACCAAGTAAAGCATCCAGCACTTCCACAAACACGATAACATCATTTTTATTTGCCAATATCCAGGGTATAAAAACACGCAAATCTAATAAAATTAATTTTATAGCTGGCCTCCTATATGAGGAAAATGCAGTGTTCCCAGCCCTAACGGAAATTCACACCAAAGACTACCATGATGGTGAAATATGGATCTCAGAGTACAATCTTTTCAGATGTGATAGGAAACACCGGCTTCAGGGTGGGGTCAGCCTCTACATCAAAGACACACTCATCTGTACTGAGCTGCTAAACACCACAAATGATATGGTGGAAGTGCTGCTAATCAAAATAGAGATCGTAAATGTAGTTATTGTCCTTGTATATAAGTCACCCGAGGCAAATCCTCAGCAGTTTAAAGACCAACTAGTGAAACTAAAACACTGCTTGGAAAACCTCATGAATCCAGCCCCGAACATCATTCTGCTTGGGGACTTCAACCTACGGCACCTGAAATGGAAGAACTTAGCTAATACAGTTATATTAGAGGGAATACCAGGAAGTAGCCTAAATGAACAGTCACATGCAAATGACCTGCTACGGATGTGCGACAGATTTGCCTTTAACCAGCAAATAGTAGAACCAACTAAAAAAGAGAACACGCTGGACCTCATTTTCACTAATAATGATGAATTGATCAGGAACATAATGATTACAAATACCTGTTACTCAGATCACAGCCAAAGTGAAGTTCTGACAAGCATGGGGAGCAGACCTGCACAACCAGTCCAGAGTCCCAGTGGAGGAGACTTCAGCGAATTCAATTTCAATAATAATCAGATTAACTGGGCGCAAATAAAACAAGACCTCACAGAAATATGCTGTGAAGAACAGCTAGAAAATGCAAACCTGAACCAGTGCCTGGAAAAATAAACTCATTAGCTCCAGAAATATGCTTTAACCGCATACCCCAACGTAAAAAAAAGAGGAAGAGATGCATATTTGAACGGGAACGTCGTTCCCTCTATAGGCGAAGAAAACGAATCGCGGAACAACTTGAGAGTCGCACCCTATCTCAAGAACGACGAACAAGCTAGGTAGAGAAATAGAAACGATTGAACTAAAGCTACAAGAATCATACAAAATCCAAGAGAGACAACGAGACCAAAAGGCCATCAGTGAAATAAAGAGAAATCCGAAATATTTTTTTCTTCTATGCAAAGTGAAGATAAAAACCACATCTAGTAACGGGCCCCTCCGACGAAGAAATGGAACTTTCACAGATGACAACAATGAAATGAGCGAAACACTGAGGAATCAGTACGACTCTGTTTTCAGCGAGCCACTAAACACACTAAAGATTGATAACCCAAATGAAATTTTCATGGATATGATACCAACAACAAATCATATATCAGATGTTACCCTATCCCCACACGATTTTGAAGAAGCCATAAACAGTATGCCTATGCACTCTGCACCAGGCCCTAATTCTTGAAACTCCATATTCATCAAGAACTGTAGAAAACCACTATCACAGGCCCTTCACATTCTTTGGAGACAAAGCCTTGATACTGGCGTTATCCCTGACATACTAAAAACAGCAGAGATAGCACCACTTCATAGGAGGAAATAAGGCAGAAGTAAAACATTACAGACCGATAGCACTAACATCACACATCATAAAAATCTTTGAAAGAGTGCTAAGAAGTAAGATCACTAAATATATGGAATCCCAGCATCTCCATAACCCTGGACAATATGGTTTCAGAACAGGGAGCTCTTGCCTGTCACAGTTGCTGGACCACTATGATATGGCATAAGATGCCATGGAAGACAAACAAAACGCTGATCTAATTTACACAGATATCGCAAAAACATTCGACAAATGTGACCTTGGGGTTATTGCACATAAAATGCGTTCAAAAGGATTACCGAAAAAATAGGCAGATGGATCTACAATTTCCTGACTAACAGAACCCAATGTGTAATAGTTAACAAACAAAATAAAATCCAGCCCATCGACCGTGAAGAGCTCAGTCCCCCAGGGTACTGTGCTTGCTCCAGAACTTTTTCTCATCCTCATATCGGACATAGACAAGAACACAACCTATAGCACTGTATCATCCTTTGCTGATGACACTAGGATTTTTATGAGAGTAGACAACATAGAGGACACGGCAAACCTCCAATCAGATGTAGATCAGGTCTTTCTATGGGCTACAGAAAATAATATGGTGTTTAGCGAAGAAAAGTTTCAGCTTCTGCGCTACGGAAAAAAATGAAAATATAAAAACAGAAACCTCTTACAAAACTCTGTCAAATCATAACATAGAACGAATAGGCAATGTAAAGGATCTGGGTGTACTCATGTCGGAAGACCTTACCTTTAAAGAACACAATAAAGTAGCCGTCACAACTGCTAGAAAAATGACAGGTTGGATAACAAGAACTTTTCAAACTAAAGATCCTATACCAGTGATGATACTCTTCAAGACGTTAGTGCTCTCTAGAGAGGAATACGGTTGCACAATGACAGTCCCTTCCAAAGCTGGAGTAATTGCTGACTTGGAGAGCGTGCAGAGATCCTTTACTGCTAGAATCCACTCAGAAAAACATCTAAACTATTGTGACCGACTAAAATGCTTAAATCTGTATTCTCTTGACCGCAGGCGGGAAAGATACGTAATAATTTACACGTGGAAAATAATAGAGAGGCTGGTCCAAAACCTGCACACAGAAATAACCCCACATGAGAAAAGGAGGCATGACAACTTGTCCTCTAAGAAAATGACATCTGAATTTGGCCGTTTGCCCGCATGGTAAAAAATGGTCGTAATTTGAAAATTATAAATAATTGAAAATATATTTGGATTTGTTTTTCCCAAAACCGCAAGTTAAGGGTCCTTTGGTAAGTTAGGACGGCAAGAAGATCTAAGGTTTCAATTCGTCATAAAAACCGTTAATTGAAAGTTTCCTTTCCTAACCTATCTGAGTAAGCCGGAGGAGTCAAAACAGAAAACGGGACAGTACGTAACTTTCGTGAGCCGATTTCATTTCAAATTACATCTGGCCTGACGGCTGAGTGGGCAGCGTTTCGCATCCGTAGTCCTGAGGATCCAGGTTCGATCTCCGGGTGAGGCGGAAACAAATGTGCAGTTTCTTTCACCCTGATGCTCCTGTTACCTAGCAGTAAATAGGTAGCTGGGAGTTAGACAGCTGCTACGGGCTGCTTCCTGGGGGAGTGTAACAAAAAAGATGCCTGGTCGAGGACCGGGCCGCGAGGACGCAAAGCCCCGAAATCATCTCAAGATAATGTTAATTTCTGGCCATAGCGCACATACGAGCGAAAAACGACGTAATTTTAAGAGGACGTGTTGGCATGGCAGGATGTGCAGAATATCCCCCCCCCCCCCCCCCCCCCCCCCCCCCCCCCGTGAAGAGCAGAGGTGCAACAGGTACTCTGAGAGAGAACTATCAACATCAGAGGCTCGAGACTGTTCAACACGCTTCCACTACACATAAGGGACATAACTGGCCGACCCCTCACAGTGTTCAAGAGAGAACTGGATAAACACCTCCAAAGGATACCTGATCAACCAGGCTGTGACTTATACGTCAGGCTGCGAGCAGCTGCGTCCAACCGCACGGTGAACCAGACCAGCAACGAGGAGGCCTGGTCGACGACCGGGCCGCGGGGTCGCTGAGCCCCGAAATCATCCCACGGTAATCACAAGGTAGGATGGTCAACATGTGGAATGTACTGAAAGACGACCTTGTGGAAGCCACCTCCATCCAAGACTTTAAGGACACATTCGATAAAGAATTTGAACGTATACAGACCGTATAGGGCTAGACCTCACCGTAGAGCGACGGTCTCGCGTCATGCAGGTCGGCGTTCAATCCCCGACCGTCCAAGTGGTTGGGCACCATTCCTTCCCCCTGTCCCATCCCAAATCCTTATCCTGACCCTTTCCAAGGTCTGTATATTCGTAATAGCTTGCCCCTTTCTGATGACAGTTTCCTTACCTTCCCCAGTAGACACTGATAGGTAAGAACTCATAGGTAATAACCCCTTAACCACCACCACCACCACCACCACCTACACCACCACCACCACCTACACCACCACCCCCACCACCACAACACCACCACCACCACCACCACAACCCCCACCACCACCACCACCACCACCACCACCACCACCACCCCCACCACCACCACCACCACCACCACCACCACAACCCCCCCCCCCTGTTATCCCCCACGGAAGCCCTCCAGGCCTGGTATGGGAGCCTAAATCGTGGCCACTTTTACCTTGGTTAATTTGAGACGTCGTCCACCTCGATTCCTCAACTGGTCGGGATTTAAAGTTTTAATTAGTTTCAGTATAGAGTTGAGGGGTTTTTATAAAGGTGAGGGCTGGTGCCTGGGGTGAGGGCTGGTGCCTGGGGTGAGGGCTGGTGCCTGGGGTGAGGGCTGGTGCCTGGGGTGAGGGCTGGTGCCTGGGGTGAGGGCTGGTGCCTGGGTGAAGGCTGGTGCCTGTGGTGAGGGCTGGTGCCTGGGGTGAGGGCTGGTGCCTCGGGTGAGGGCTGGTGCCAGGGTGAGGGCTGGTGCCTGGGGTGAGGGCTGGTGCCTGGGGTGAGGGCTGGTGCCTGGGGTGAGGGCTGGTGCCAGGGTGAGGGCTGGTGCCTGGGGTGAGGGCTGGTGCCTGGGGTGAGGGCTGGTGCCTGGGGTGAGGGCTGGTGCCTGGGGTGAGGGCTGGTGCCTGAGGTGAGGGCTGGTGCCTGGGGTGAGGGCTGGTGCCTGGGGTGAGGGCTGGTGCCTGGGGTGAGGGCTGGTGCCTGGGGTGAAGGCTGGTGCCTGTGGTGAGGGCTGGTGCCTGGGGTGAGGGCTGGTGCCTGGGGTGAGGGTTGGTGCCAGGGTGAGGGCTGGTGCCTGGGGTGAGGACTGGTGCCTGGGGTGAGGGCTGGTGCCTGGGGTGAGGGCTGGTGCCAGGGTGAGGGCTGGTGCCTGGGTGAGGGCTGGTGCCTGGGGTGAGGGCTGGTGCCTGGGGTGAGGGCTGGTGCCTGGGGTGAGGGCTGGTGCCTAGGGTGAGGGCTGGTGCCTGGGGTGAGGGCTGGTGCCTGGGGTGAGGGCTGGTGCCTGGGGTGAGGGCTGGTGCCAGGGTGAGGGCTGGTGCCTGGGGTGAGGGCTGGTGCCAGGGGTGAGGGCTGGTGCCTGGGGTGAGGGCTGGTGCCTGGGGTGAGGGCTGGTGCCAGGGTGAGGGCTGGTGCCTGGGGTGAGGGCTGGTGCCTGGGGTGAGGGCTGGTGCCTGGGGTGAGGGCTGGTGCCTGGGGTGAGGGCTGGTGCCTGGGTGAGGGCTGGTGCCTGTGGTGAGGGCTGGTGCCTGGGGTGAGGGCTGATGCCAGGGTGAGGGCTGGTGCCTGGGGTGAGGGCTGGTGCCTGGGGTGAGGGCTGGTGCCTGGGGTGAGGGCTGGTGCCTGGGGTGAGGGCTGGTGCCTGGGGTGAGGGCTGGTGCCTGGGGTGAGGGCTGGTGCCTGGGGTGAAGGCTGGTGCCTGTGGTGAGGGCTGGTGCCTGGGTGAGTGCTGGTGCCTGGGGTGAGGGCTGGTGCTGGGGTGAGGGCTGGTGCCAGGGTGAGGGCTGGTGCCTGGGGTGAGGGCTGGTGCTTGGGTGAGGGCTGGTGCCTGGGGTGAGGGCTGGTGCCTGGGGTGAGGGCTGGTGCCTGGGGTGAGGGCTGGTGCCTGGGGTGAAGGCTGGTGCCTGGGGTGAGGGGCTGGTGCCTGGGGTGAGGGCTGGTGCCTGGGGTGAGGGCTGGTGCCTGGGGTGAGGGCTGGTGCCTGGGGTGAGGGCTGGTGCCTGGGTGAGGGCTGGTGCCTGGGGTGAGGGCTGGTGCCTGGGTGAGGGCTGGTGCCTGGATGAGGGCTGGTGCCTGGGGTGAGGGCTGGTGCCTGTGGTGAGGGCTGGTGCCTGGGGTGAGGGCTGGTGCCTGGGGTGAGGGCTGGTGCCTTGGGTGAGGGCTGGTGCCTGGGGTGAGGGCTGGTGCCAGGGTGAGGGCTGGTGCCTGGGGTGAGGGCTGGTGCCTGGGTGAATGCTTCCTGACCACCTTCCTCTAACACGCCTGATGAAATGTTTATACCCAAGACGAATTAAATATTAAATCAATCCATGTTGTTACTCACCCCCCAAGCCGTCCCCTCCAACCCAATGTAACCGCCAACATCCATTCACTTTAATGCCAATCAATACTCTCCGACATAGGTCGAACTCGGCCCCGAACGACAGCCGAGTTCTGGGGGATTAAACTAGTTAGATGGGAAACTTGAGCTTCTTAAGTATAACGCTCGAGGTTGCCGTGACGTCAGCGCGATGCCATATGAAGCTCCTGGATTTTAGTTGTAGAGTATCACACGCTCCAGCGACCCCTTATGGCAAGTTGGCAAACTTAACACCCGATAAAGTTGGGATTATGGTGAGGGATTAGGATGAAAGAAGAATAAAGAAGTAGGATAAGTGAATGCTGGTCCCTGGTGAATGCTGAAGGATATGCTGATTAGCATTGTAAATGTGTGGCCACGTCTGTGGTAGAAAATAGTAATAACAATAAAAAAAAGGATAAGTGAAGAGAGAATAATGATAAGAAACATTATAATAGATGAAAATTTAAAGGGGCCCCTGGGGGTCCCATTGGACAAGGGGGGCCCCCAGGGGATAAGGGCCCTTCAACCACTGTGACAATAGTATAGTATAGTTCGATTTCAATTCAATTTGGGAGCTCCTCTTAAGCGACAGATGGATTTACAACACTGGATTTCTCCACATTGTTACATAAAACAAAGATAACACTCAGGTGAGACATAGATAACACCCAGGCGAGACAAAGATAACACCCAGGCGAGGCAGAGATAACACCCACGCGAGACAGAGATAACACCCAGGCGAGACACAGATAACACCCAGGCGAGGCAAAGATAACACCCAGGCGAGGCAAAGATAACACCCAGGCGAGGCAAAGATAACACCCAGGCGAGGCAAAGATAACACCCAGGCGAGACATAGATAACACCCAGGCGAGACAGAGATAACACCCAGGCGAGACAAAGATAACACCCTGGCGAGACAAAGATAACACCCAGGCGAGACAAAGATAACACCCAGGCGAGACAAAGATACACACATAGATGCACCAGAACTCGACAACACTAGTGAAAGTTGGAAACGCAAATTAGCAGAAGGACTGTTAGGACATGTTCGTACCCTGTACAGGTAGTTAACGAGTGGAATACACTGGCAGAAGAAGTTGTAGAAGCCATTTTCATCCGCAACAAGTGGAATACACAGACGAAGCTGTGGAAGCCACTTCTATGCAACATCTATAAGACTAATACGGCAAAGAATTCAAACTTTAACAAAATAAAAAATGTACACACACAGACACACACACACCCACACACACACACACACCACACACACACACACACACACACAAACACACACACACACACACACACACATATACACACACACACACACACACACACACACACACACACACACACACACACACACACACACACACACACACACACACCCCACACACACACACACACACACACACACACACACACACACACACACACACACACACACACACACACACCCCACACACACACACAGACAACTATACATGTCACTGCTGCAGGCACTGTCAGACAAGCACTGTAAACAAGCAGACCCATCGACCGTAGGTGGCATAAAAAGAGCACAAATATCCCGAAGGAAGGACAGGTATAAACACATATGTTTCAGGAAAGCAAATATGCAAACGCGAGTCGTGTAAAGAACACGCGAAATATTCTCTCGACATTTCGCGGAGAAATGCCCGCATTCGCCGCGCATGTTTGCAGGAAAGGTCTACTATATGTTGCACAGTTAGGAAGAGAAAGTTGATGGGATGATTCTTCCACAGTCAAAAAAAGAGGTAAGTTGCCGTTGCTACACGCCCGTTGCCAGCAATAGCAACACCGTTATATCCTATACGTTCAACGAACGGACACACACACAACGGTACAACACCTGTATAACTTTGCAACAACGGTAAAAACCACTGTTTGGGGTTATGTGGTGAATTTGTTAAAAGAGCCACAACCGCCAGCTCTGCAAATTTAGCCTCCAACACAATTACCACTATCACCATCACCACTATCCACCAACAACACTATCACCACCATTTCAAGTTCCCCCTATTACTGCAGCCATACACTTTACATATATATACATACTCGCACATATGGAACAAAAGCCACGACTTTATGAACCCAATTGCATGTAATCCTCACATATTCCTTCGTCATACTGAACTGCCATACAGACACCCCAGAATACAGGCACCTTGCCCTATTTACCCCCATTTACAATGGGTATGGACCCCAATTTGCATACACTCATTAGATCGCTCTCATAACAATATTTTGATATAATAGGAATATGTAAGCAATTATCAAAAGTAGGCATTAACCGGGGAGAGAGAGAGAGAGAGAGAGAGAGAGAGAGAGAGAGAGAGAGAGAGAGAGAGAGAGAGAGAGAGAGAGAGAGAGAGAGAGAGAGTCGACAGAGTGTTCTTCACAGTCAGGAAGTGTTTGACACTACCCCGCAGGAGAGACTTCTATATAAACTTGAGAACAAAATTAGTATAACAGAGGTAAAGAGCCAGGTTGAATGATGGGAGTACCTCCCGGGTAGAAAACTGAGGGTAAAGGTGAGAAAGACGTCAGTGGCGAGATATAGTTAGCAGAGTGCTGTCACGCCAAGTTGACATCTCACGAGAGAGAGAGTTGAACAAGTGTGTCAACAGCGTCGGCGGCCATATGAACATTCCTCGAGGAGTGGTAGAGTAGAGAACAATAGTGGTGAACAGTAGTGAAACGTGGTGAACAGTGGTGTATAGAGGAGTAGTGAATTGAGGCATCTTACTGACACGTGAACCAAAAAATACAGGAATAGAGGATACTGCAGAAGGCCTATTGACCATTACGAGGCAGCTCGTATTGACCATTACAAGGCAGCTCGTATTGACCATTACAAGGCAGCTCGTATTGACCATTACAAGGCAGCTCGTATTGACCATTACAAGGCAGCTCGTATTGACCATTACAAGGCAGCTCGTATTGACCATTACAAGGCAGCTCGTATTGACCATTACAAGGCAGCTCGTATTGACCATTACAAGGCAGCTCGTATTGACCATTACGAGGCAGCTCGTATTGACCATTACGAGGCAGCTCGTATTGACCATTACGAGGCAGCTCGTATTGACCATTACGAGGCAGCTCGTATTGACCATTACGAGGCAGCTCGTATTGACCATTACGAGGCAGCTCGTATTGACCATTACGAGGCAGCTCGTATTGACCATTACGAGGCAGCTCGTATTGACCATTACGAGGCAGCTCGTATTGACCATTACAAGGCAGCTCGTATTGACCATTACGTGGCAGCTCGTATTGACCATTACGAGGCAAGCTCGTATTGACCATTACGAGGCAGCTCGTATTGGCCATTACGAGGCAGCTCGTATTGACCATTACGAGGCAGCTCGTATTGACCATTACAAGGGAGCTCGTATTGACCATTACGAGGCAGCTCGTATTGACCATTACGAGGCAGCTCGTATTGACCATTACGAGGCAGCTCGTATTGGCCATTACGAGGCAGCTCGTATTGACCATTACGAGGCAGCTCGTATTGACCATTACGAGGCAGCTCGTATTGACCATTACAAGGCAGCTCGTATTGGCCATTACGAGGCAGGTGATATTGACCCACACGAGGGATGATGATAGGGCTAAAGATGTCAAACTTTGTCCACACAACCCACATGATATCGAATGTAACAAACCTCGCATACTTCTTGGGATATCACAAACCCTCCCCCCCCTTTTCGATATCAATCACAAACCCTCCCCCCCCTTTTCGATATCAATCACAATCCCCCAGTTTACATACACAACCACTGTACCTCCTCTTCCCCAACAACGGATATCAAAGACTATTGTGGGCCCTCTATTGGGCCCACAATCACCCCTCCTTCCCCCCTCCGCTACAAACATCAACCACAATCACCATACACTACCCACCCCCCCTATTGACCCTCACAACCCCCCACCCCTCACCCCAAGTCTCCCAGTAGAATACAATACACATGCAATTATGTACTTGGCTAAACTGAATGGAATAGTATATTTGATTTTAAGTCATCATTAAATTGGTAAACTCCAATTTTACTGAGAGAGAGAGAGAGAGAGAGAGAGAGAGAGAGAGAGAGAGAGAGAGAGAGAGAGAGAGAGAGAGAGAGAGAGAGAGAGAGAGAGAGAGAGAGAGAGAGCTAGAGAGAGCGAGAGAATTTGTATATCCTTATAAACTGATCACTGTGTACAATTTATAAGGATATACAAACACATTAGAGGCGAGATAAAACAATAAAGAATAACAAATTATATGTGTAATGATGTCGACGCCATCTGTTGAGCGCACCCGACCCCAATTCTTTTAGAAGGGGAGGTGTGACGGTCTCAACGCCATGTGTTGAGCGCACCCGACCCACTTTTCCTTTCCCCAGGAGGATTGTTGTGATCTTAATGACCCCTATGTAGTTTCTTAGTAACCACATTCTTACACCCAAGAAGTGATGTGGGTGGTATCTTGGTCAACAGGAACAGTTCCTCCAGGGACGTCCTGAACTCAAGACGTCTTCCAGTGGGTACATGTGACCGAGTCGGTGTAGACACTGATTTGTCTGTGATACTTAGTGAAGTATTGGTGACCGGACCGACGTATCCTGGGATGGCCAAGTTGATTTAAGAGATGGAAGAACTGTTCGTATGTTAAGGCTTGTTATAAACCTGTGTGGAAGTCTGCCAGTGTGTTGCTGGAGACCCCTGCCAGTGTGTTGCTGGAGACGTCTGCCAGTGTGTTGCTGGAGACGTCTGCCAGTGTGTTGCTGGAGACGTCTGCCAGTGTGTTGCTGGAGACGTCTGCCAGTGTGTTGCTGGAGACGTCTGCCAGTGTGTTGCTGGAGACGTCTGCCAGTGTGTTGCTGGAGACCCCTGCCAGTGTGTTGCTGGAGACCCCTGCCAGTGTGTTGCTGGAGACGTCTGCCAGTGTGTTGCTGGAGACCCCTGCCAGTGTGTTGCTGGAGACCCCTGCCAGTGTGTTGCTGGAGACGTCTGCCAGTGTGTTGCTGGAGACCCCTGCCAGTGTGTTGCTGGAGACGTCTGCCAGTGTGTTGCTGGAGACCCCTGCCAGTGTGTTGCTGGAGACCCCTGCCAGTGTGTTGCTGGAGACCTGCCTGCCAGTGTGTTGCTGGAGACGTCTGCCTGCCAGTGTGTTGCTGGAGACGTCTGCCAGTGTGTTGCTGGAGACCCCTGCCAGTGTGTTGCTGGAGATCCCTGCCAGTGTGTTGCTGGAGACCCCTGCCAGTGTGTTGCTGGAGACGTCTGCCAATGTGTTGCTGGAGACCCCTGCCAGTGTGTTGCTGGAGACCCCTGCCAGTGTGTTGCTGGAGATCCCTGCCAGTGTGTTGCTGGAGACCCCTGCCAGTGTGTTGCTGCAGATCCCTGCCAGTGTGTTGCTGGAGACCCCTGCCAGTGTGTTGCTGGAGACCCCTGCCAGTGTGTTGCTGGAGACCCCTGCCAGTGTGTTGCTGGAGATCCCTGCCAGTGTGTTGCTGGAGACCCCTGCCAGTGTGTTGCTGGAGACCCCTGCCAGTGTGTTGCTGGAGACCCCTGACAGTGTGTTGCTGGAGACCCCTGCCAGTGTGTTGCTGGAGACCCCTGCCAGTGTGTTGCTGGAGACCCCTGCCAGTGTGTTGCTGGAGACCCCTGCCAGTGTGTTGCTGGAGATCCCTGCCAGTGTGTTGCTGGAGACCCCTGCCAGTGTGTTGCTGGAGACGTCTGCCAGTGTGTTGCTGGAGACGTCTGCCAGTGTGTTGCTGGAGACGTCTGCCAGTGTGTTGCTGGAGACCCCTGCCAGTGTGTTGCTGGAGACCCCTGCCAGTGTGTTGCTGGAGATCCCTGCCAGTGTGTTGCTGGAGATCCCTGCCAGTGTGTTGCTGGAGACCCCTGCCAGGGTGTTGCTGGAGATCCCTGCCAGTGTGTTGCTGGAGATCCCTGCCAGTGTGTTGCTGGAGACCCCTGCCAGTGTGTTGCTGGAGACCCCTGCCAGTGTGTTGCTGGAGACCCCTGCCAGTGTGTTGCTGGAGACCCCTGCCAGTGTGTTGCTGGAGACCCCTGCCAGTGTGTTGCTGGAGACCCCTGCCAGTGTGTTGCTGGAGACGTCTGTCAGTGTGTTGCTGGAGACCCCTGCCAGTGTGTTGCTGGAGAGTAGAAGTAGTGTTTTGACACCGTGACGATACTGTAGAGGACTGGCCCATGATTTACTGAGAAAGGTGAACTCGCTGGCGTGAGGACCATAGACGACAGACTTGGGGAAGGAACCTTGGCTGGTGTACGACAGAAGAATGCAATCTTCTGCAATCTTATGCAATCTTCTTCCCCTACTCGCCGGGGAAGAAGATTGCATAAGTTCTACAGTGTCATGTGAGAAAGTGACACCTGCGGTGTTATGTCATGTACAAATGTGTATAACTACTGTTAAGTTATACATACTGTATATAACAGTATGTTAAGTTATATATACTGTTAAGTTATAACTACTGTATAACTACTGTATAACTATAAATTGAAAAACAGGAGAGAAAAAAAAAGGTTGATACAATTTAAAACAAAAAAGAGAAAACAAAGAAAGAGAAAAGGAAATGAAAAGTATGTTTTTTGACCAGCTTAAGAATACTTTCCTCAGCAGCTTCTTAACACACATGAAAATAAAGAAGAGAAAGTCGAAAACTCTTACATAAAGTCCGAAAACAGGACTAATTAATTAGCAGAGCTCAACATTGCGTAAAATAGTTCTATGTAGCGTATCCTTACTAACTCCTCGTAAGGTAACGTCTTGCAAGCTACTCTCTGAAACAGGTAACAGCTATCCTTAATAACTACAAGAAAAGGTAATAGCAACCCTTACTAACTCCTGGAAACGTAACTGCTACCCTTAGTAACTCCTGGAAAGGTAACTGCTACCCTTAGTAACTCCTCGAAAGGTAACTGCTACCCTACTAACTTATGGAAAAGTTAAAAAATTCCCCCGTATCTCACGGGAAAGTAACAATACATTCCCTGCTTGATGGGGTTTTGGGAGTTAATCCCCAAGCCCGGCTCGAGGCCAGGCTTGACTTGTGAGAGTTTGGTCCACCAGGCTGTTGCTTGGAGCGGCCCGCAAACCCACATACCCACCACAGCCCGGTTGGTCCGGCACTACCTTGAAAAAAAACTACCCAGTTTTCTCTTGAAGATGTCCACGGTTGTTCCGGCAATATTTCTTATGCTCGCTGGGAGGACGTTGAACAACCGGGGACCTCTGATGTTTATACAGTGTTCTCTGATTGTGCCTATGGCACCTCTGCTCTTCACTAGTTCTACTCTGCACTTCCATATCGTTCACTCCAGTACGTTGTTATTTTACTGTGTAGATTAGGGTCCTGGCCCTCCAGTATTTTCCACGAATATATTATTTGATATCTCTCTCTCGTCTCCTTTCTAGTGAGTACATTTGGTGAGCTTTGAGACGATCCCAATAATTTAGGTGCTTTATCGCTCTACAGGATACCTTAAAATATCCAAACATTTAATAAAATAGAAACATAGATAAATAATATTAAATAAAATATTAGAAAAATATTAATTTTTCTAATACAATAAACAAATAAACAATAACAAAATAAGAAACAGCTACGATGAGCTCCCCTATCAACCTAATATTAAAAGATATCCAAGATACCCGTAAATTAATGGCCTCAGCAAACTGCCCCATAAAAAATGGGGGATCTAAAATAGAGGAGAAATAGGGAGTGTGGAGTTACGAAATTGGGAACACGGTGAGGAAGGTCGCTATCTACCTGCCAAAAGGTAATCCGATTTCCTCAAAATAGTCCAATATAGAAGAGGTGGAATCCGGAAAGAGATGATTTATACGAAAAGGGGGAAAGAGGACGTAAGGGATGGGTGGAAAGGGAGAAGATGCGAAGGGGTTTGGGAAGAAATGGAAGGGGAGACTGGGAAGGTTGGGGGGATGAAAGTACTCACCTAAGTGTGCTTGCGGGGGTTGAGCTCTGGCTCTTTGGTCCCGCCTCTCAACTGTCAATCAACTGGAGGTCAATCAAAGTATGATGGGAAGGAGGAGGGTAGGGAAGAAAGGAGGGTACGAAGAAAGAAGACAGGGCGAGAAAAAAGGAAGTAGAGGGGAAATGGGGTAGATGAGGGGAGGAGAACGAGATGAGGGATAAAACTGAGACACGTAAGAGGTGAGGCATGGGTGAGGTGAATCAATGAGCCAGCATGGAGAGAGGGAGAGACGACAGGAGGCGGCCAAGCTACCTAATAGAGGTCCGGAGATTGGCCCAATCTAAAGAGGATTTGT